TCCAAAAATTAGCCGAATCCGTCGCGATCCGGCCGAGCGGCCGAGCGCGCCGGTCCCGCGGGTCCGCGAGCACCACAACGCGACGTTCCCGCGCCTCCCGCGCCGCCGCGACCACCGATCGGGTCGGCCCGACGCCCCGGTGCGTCCTCCGGCGCCGCGGGCCGCGCGCCGACGGCAAAGCGCCGGCGTCGCGACCCGGAGCGACGACGCCTCGGGCCGCTGAGCGGCAGGCTCTACCTGTTGAGCACAATGGCGCTCGTCGTCAGCACGCCCTCGGACGGCGACGAGGCCCCGGCGACGCGCGTGCGGCGCACGGACGCGCGCAACCCGTGGTGCGGGCGATATATGACAGATTAGACTTGGACAAAATCTCGTGAGGCGGTGAGAGCATGCCGGGCAAGTGCTTGCTAAAGCGATCGCTAAACCACGGCTCCCAGCGTTTCCGCCGGCCGTCCAGCGGGTCGCGAGCTCCGGCCACCGCTCCACCCGCCGCTCCCCGCGCCCCGACGCGGACGTCCCGTCGGCTGCGGGGATCGCTGCGGCGACCGGTGGCAGCGCCGCGGTCGGCGCGCGGTCCGCGCCGACGGAGGCATCGGCCGCGTCGACGCGGTCCTCCAAGTTTTCGATCGGAGGTCTGGGAGCGGTCCTGGGGACGCTCCGGGGGAAGTGCACGAGGCGCGACCCGAAAACACCGGGCACGGTGTTTTCGGGTTTCGCGTCAACTTGGACTTCAAACAGAATGTCCACAACTCGCCAGGATCTTGAGCTCGAAGCGACTCGATCTCGTGCGCCGCGCCGCGTCTCTCGCCCCGCGCCCCCCGCCCCGCGGCCCCGCGCGCCCCGCGCGACGCCCCGCGCGCCCCACGAGCCCGCCCGAGCGCCGCCACACACCCACAATCACCGTTTCGCTCACAGGTGCTGATCGATTTGTGTCAAGCCATGGCCAAGGCGAAGGCGGCGGCGCGCCGCCGGCGCAACGCCCGGGCGCGCGACGCGGCGGCACGCGGCGCGCGACGAACGCGACGCCGCAGGTACGGGCGTCGAAGCGCTCGTCGGCGCAAGTGTCGGCGCGCGCGTCGGCGTTCCTCGTCCTCCTTCGGACGACGATGAGCGCGATCGCGGGCCTGTTCGTCAACTACCAGGAGGAGCGCCGGGCTTTGGTCGAGAAGACCGAGGCCAAGGACCTCATCGACCAGAACGTCGGCGAGATGATGGGGGTCGTGTACCGCGGCGCGTCCCCGCGTCCGCCTGCGAGTTTGAAAATTTTCCCGCCCCGCCCGGCGCCTCGCGCGGTCCCTCGCGCTCGCCCCGCCGGGCGCGGCCCACCATCGCTTCGGCGCGCGCGAGCGAGCCCTCCCTCCCTCCCCCCGCAGGCATGCTCGACTCGACCGCGGACGTGCTCGCGGCGGCCGTGCTCCGCGACCGGTCGGCGTCCCGACGGTCCCGCGCGCGCGTGCTCCGGGGGCGGGGGCGGGGTCCGGCGCGCGCGCGCGCGCGCGAGCGACTGCACGGACACGTCCTTCGCCCCCGCAGGCACGGAGTGGAAGGACGACGCGTCCGCGGAGGACGAGGGCCGGTCGCGCAAGCACCTGTCGGCGCGCGGCGCCGCGACGCCCCCCGACGGCTTCGGGGGCACGTCCATGGTCGAGGCGTCCCTCGCAGGTCGCGGCTCGCGCAGCGCGTCGCGTCCTTCCACTGGGGCAACCTGCCCGTCGCGCGGCGTCCGCGAACGCGTCCCCGGAACCGACGACGCGCGCGCGCGCCCGACGCGTCGCGTCGCCGCCCTCGAGCCCCCGCTCGCACAGGACGTCGCAGATCGCCGACAAGGACGGCCTCGCGACGCACCAGCTCGTCGCGGCGACGGTCATCCCGGACCGGTCCGCGGCGCGCCGCGGCGCGCGCGCGATCGCCACGGAACCGTCGCGCGCCGACGGCCGCGGCTTCGCCCCGCGCAGTTGCTGATCCAGTTCGTCGTGCTCCCGCGCAAGATGGGCACGGGCCGCGACTCGCTCGAGGTGCGCGACCCGCGCCCCGGGCCCCCCGCCGCGCGCCGCGCGCCGCGGAAGCGGCGGAAGCGACGAGCCCGCGCGCGTCCCCGCGCAGTCGGACGAGAACGTCGTCACGTGCTTCATCGACGCCGCGGCGACGCTCAAGCGCGCGCGCAAGCAGGGCCTGCTCCGGCCCGTCGCCCCGCGTCCTTTGAACGCGCGCGTCGCGCGTCGACGTCGTCGCTTCCGAACGACTTCGATCGCCGTCGCGCGCGCGGGGCCCCCCGTCACGGGCCGCTCGA